TAGGGCTTAGAGTTTAGAGTTCAGACTTCATTATTGGCGCAGGAGTCAGGGTGCAGCTAGGATGATTTGCTCTTCAAAAAAGCAGTCGTTTAAATTTCCAGCTGCGCAATGTACACTGGTTCAAGTCCTTGGGTCCCTGATCCCTAAACCCTAAACTCTGAACTGTAAACTCTAAACTCTAAACCCTGAACCCTGAACTGGTGTCGTCATAGCGCCGGGTGCTGGGCATCAGCTGGAAGACTCCAGTACTTGGAGGGTCAGGGGGACTTAGTAAGTGGGTTGATAATGGACAAGAAAATGGAAACTACTACATTATTTGGGGTGTGGTGTTTAGGGTTTAGGGTCAGGGGGACTAAGTAAGTAGGTTAATAACTAGGATAACTAGGGTTACTACGTGGGTTATAGGGGTTACTAACCTACTGACTAAGTCCCACTGACCCTGCAAGTAACGCGTCTTATCCAGTAGCTATGGTATACGGCAAGACTGTACACTAGCCAGAGCCTCATTTCAATGCTCTAGGCATTCAGCACTTCAGGAGTGATCTTCAAGTACGTGTCTCTGTCAATGGTGGGTCCTTCTGCCATTCATTTTCGTGAGTACGTATCCGTGTTCCACTCTCAGCAAAAGTTTCAGGCACCTGGTTGAAGATTTAGGGATTAACCCCCGGCCTTTTAGTTCTAATAGAGTCTTATCATAATTCACAGGGCAACCTAGATGGTCCTGAAAGAGTGTAAACGTTATCTGCATATCGACAGCAGAATATGTTCCCAACCCCAATGTAAGTGAATACGCCGTACATTAGGCTTACGAACGGTGAGGAAATCCAAGGTTTTCCAATTGTTCCCCCTACGCGCTTAAGTCCTGATGCCTGCGCCCTGACATCCCCCTTGGAACTACACGTGCAATCTGAATCCCATATCACTCTAAACAACCTGGACAAAGATGTCTAGCAGCCCTCCGATCGTGTTGCCCTACTGATACTGACTGTGCTTATCATGGATTGAACCTTGCTCACAAGCCAGAACCATGGCAAATCCGAAGCCCTAAACCCTAAATCCCTAAATAGTAGTTTCCATTTTCCTTGCCATTATCCCTACACAACCCTTATACTCATGGCACATCCTAAATCCTAAGCCCTTGGCCCCCCCAACTCCTACACCCTCTGGGAATGAATCTCTACAGTAGTCCTTATCGCCGCACTGAAGTCCGAGAATAGCCCAGAAACCCAAAGCCCTCAGTAGGGTTTAGGGTTTAGGGCCCCTATGGCCCATTCCATCCTTGGTAGGGCCTGCCATTTCTGTTTCCTGAAGTTCCCCCAGCAACCTATAGTCCAGCTTAAGTAGATAGACTATGAGGTGTATGGGGATCTGATGTTGATATTGGGAGATTCCATATTCTTTCTACTTCAGGGGGACGATAAGCTCTGGAGACACTCCCCGGATTTCTGCAGGGAGGGTGGAGAACAGTGGTCGGCGACCTTCGAGTGCTGGGACTTTCAAACTGGCCCAGCCCCTCGGCGCCCTTTTAGAGTTTAGGGTTTTTCAGAGTTCAGAGCTTAGGATTCAGGGTTCGGGTTTAGGGTTTGCGGCGCGTGGGGTTTAGGACCTAGGCCTTAGGGTTTAGGGCCTGTCATTTGTGGTTTAGAGATGTTTTTACAGGCTATGCAGGTCTGAGAAAGATCTGTTGTATGCACAAGTAGTCCCATACATAGAGCGTTGTTACATGTCTCTGCGTGTGTTTGTTGGCAACTGCCATAAGCCCTAAACCCTAAGCCCTAGACCCCAAAGCCTAAACACATCTCCTGAACTTACCTAAACCCTAAACCCTAAATAATGGTTTCCATTTTCATTTCCATTATCCCTACCTATATTCCCCGTATATTGCTCTACTACCCGCAAGCCTGAGAGCACCCTTTTTCAAGGCTGATCCCTTGATCCAAGCTAGCCTGAAGCCGCAAGGCTAAACCCTGAAACCCCAAACCATGTATGAGCTAGAGTCTAAACTCCTTAAGGGGGTGATATAAGGGGTTATATAGGGTAATATAGGGTTTAGGGTTTAGAGTCTAAACTCCTTAAATGGGGGTTCATTATAGGGATTCTGTAGGGGAGTATTGTAGGGGTTACTCAGGGGGATACTAGGAGTTTACACTATAGCGTATACAGCGGTATACATCCTGACGTGTAGAAGGTTTTGTGTATATGGTGCTTGGTGAGTGTATAT